CAGTCAGTTAAGCTTCAGACTCTTGATTTTGGCTCAGGTCATGATCTCAACAATTTGTGAGATAGAGCCCCACATCAGGCTCCGTGCTAACAGCTGAGAGCCTACTTGGAATTCTCTCCCCACCTCCCTCTCTGCCTCTTCCCTGTTCGCATTCTCCTTCTCTCTCAAAATAAATAAACGTTTAAAAAAAATAAAAATTAAAGGAAGACAATAAAGTGAAGTGTTATGTTAAATGCCAAATGATTAATGTCTATACTATATTAAAATATATTCTGCATGGGGTGCCTGGGTGGCTCAGTTAAGCATTCGACTTCAGCTCAGGTCATGATCTCACGGCTCCTGAGTTCAAGCCCTGCGTTGGGCTGTGTGCTGACAGCTTGGAGCCTGGAAGCCTGCTTTGGATTCTGTGTCTCCCTCTCTCTTTCTCTGTCAAAAATAAACATTAAAAAATTTTTTTTAATAAAAAAAGAATATATTCTACAAATACATGGGCAAAAGGCTAGAAATAGTCCATGAAGTGGGGAAGCATATGGGGGAGTATGTCTTGGTATATTAAAAACATAAATTGGGGGCGCCTGGGTGGCTCAGTTGGTTAAGCATCCGACTTCAGCTCAGGTCACGATCTCACGGTCCGTGAGTTCGAGCCCTGCGTCGGGCTCTGGGCTGATGGCTCAGAGCCTGGAACCTGCTTCTGATTCTGTGTCTCCCTCTCTCTCTGACCCTCCCCCGTTCATGCTCTGTCTCTCTCTGTCTCAAAAATAAACATTAAAAAAAAATTTTTTTTTAATAAAAAAAAAGAAAACATAAATTGAGGGGCGCTTGGCTGGTAGACTGTGCGACTCTTGATCTTGGGGTTGTAAGTTTGAGCCTCATGTTGGGAAAGAGATTACTTAAAAAATCTTTAAGAAAAACGCACAGTGGCGCCTGGCAGGTTCAGTCGCTTAAGCGTCTGACTTTGGCTCAGGTCAGGTCATGATCTCACGGTTCGTGGGTTTGAGCCCTGCCTGGGGTTCTCTGTCTCCCTCTCTCTCTGCCCCTCCCCTGTTCATGATCTCTCTGTCTCTCAAAAATAGATATTTAAAAAAAAAATTTTTTTTTCAAGTTGGATGACAGTGCAAAGCAAGAGCCATACAGATTTACATTTCCTGTGACCTAATAATACTGCTTCCTAGAATTTGTCTATAGATAAATTCAACCAAAGCATAAAGAATATATTTTTTCAGGAGGATAATAAGTACATATGTACATGTAAATCAATTGGGCTTTCTTAGAAAAGACATTTAACAGCTTGCCATCCCCCTCCTGTTGTGCTCCCATGTGCTCCACTCGTGCTCCACTCATCCTGTGCTCCCATGGCACTTGCTTTAAAAGATGAAGTATGGAAATGATTTTTATGTTTCCATGAGAGCCATTCACAGAGTAATTGCACACACTCACTCCCCATTCTGTATTCATGTCTGTTTGCTGAAAAAGGGAAGTCAGAGAAGATTATGTCCTGAATTTTAGGTTTCTGATAGCAGAGCATAAAAATGGTTCAGAAGAAAGGGAACTGTAGTGGAACATTTCTAAAGAAAGAAAATTTCCCAAAGTTACTAAATACATCACATATACCGAAGGTATGGGTACAGGGTGCTGTGGCATTTGTGATTGCCCTTGGGAAGCCAGGTTCTTAGGGTTCAACATTTTCTAAGTCTAGACTGTATCTTAACCAGTATACAGTGCCTACTTCTATATGTGTATAAATTGCTGCTTTATAAGCTCTGAAGGACATAGGACTAATTCCTCCTCCCCCCAGAAAAGGTAGATTATTATATGAGATGCTGAACCGTTGAGAACTGTTTCATCACATTAATTGCTAAAAAGATACTTGTCTTTGGTATGGAGAGAGGTGTAGGGGAGGAGTTTTCTAACAGTTACACTGTGATTTTGACTAATTGGAGTAAATCGAACTTCAGGCTTTAGGGAAAATGCTTTAGATGTGGTGTTTGGAAAAATCTGAGTCTGAACTTGGGGGTGTGAATCATTACAGGAGTTGTGTTAGAAACTTGACTATGTCACCATTTAAAGATTGCGTATTACTCTTGTGGTTTTATAACTTGTATTCAGTGAGAGAAGTGGTAAAATGCTTGTGTGGTCAGATTCTGCATGTAATCTTGATACTTCCATGTTCTGTAGGTGCCTGTACTATCTGTCTTTTTTTTTTTTTTAAGTTTATTTATTTTAATAGTGCAGAGAAGGGGCGGAATGAGAGGGAGAGAGAGAATCCCAAGCAGGCTCTGCACTGTTAGCACAGAGACCTACTTGGGACTCAGACCCACAAACCATGAGATCATGACCTGAGCTGAAACCAAGAGTCAGACACTCAACCGACTGAGCCACCCAAGCACCCCTTTTCTTAGTTTTTCATTGACGTTTTGGAAAATTTTCCAGGTTTTTTCCCAATATCTTACCCCATCACCACCAGTTTTTCTTATTAAATTACTATGAACACATAACACTTAGAGATTGTTTTAAATTTATTAAATGATAGCAAATGAACAAAGTTGGCACCTTATGGATGACTCCTGGCCATGACTATTCAAAGTTGGCAGAACTTGATAATAAGTAATAATTTGGGGGCTCCTGAGTGGTTCAGTTGGTTAATAAGCGTCTGAGTTCGGCTCAGGGCATGATCTCATGGTTCGTGAATTGCAGCCACACATCAGGCATTACGCTGGCAGTGCAGAGCCTGCTTGGGATTCTCTTTCTGCCTCTCTCTGCTCCTTCCCCACTTGTGCTTTCTTTCTCTCTCCCAAATAAACTTTAACACAAACACACACACACACTAATTTGTCCTGGTTTTATTTTGAGAGACAGAGTATGTATGAGAGGGGGAGGCACAGAGAGAGGGAGAGACAGAATCCTAAGCAGGCTGCACACTTTCAGCACAGAGAGCCCCAGTGGGGCTTTAACTCACGAGCTGTGAGATCATGACCTGAGCCGAAGTCACACACTTAACCGACTGAGCCACTCAGGTGCTCCCCACAAGATTTTATTTTTAAGTAATCTCTACACCCAGTGTAGGGCTTGAACCCAAAACCCCGAGATCAAGAGTCACATGCTCCACTGAGTCAGCCAGGCACCCCGGTGTTATTATTTTTTTTAAATCACAGTACAGATGCAGGTGTTTTCTTTCCGTGAGCAGTTTCTTTGTGTGAAGCTGTAAATCACCTCCAGTGTATTCAAGTGTCCCAGTGACTGAGAGCCAGCTGTTGGGTGTTTTAACTAAACAGCTTGCTCATTGTTGGCCATTCAAATCCCAGTGAGAGGTATTAGCTGCTCCAGGGAATAGAACGGGGATAGAGCATCCAGGGTGAAGATTTTCGCAAGGCCTTTAGTGACCCAGCTTAAATTTGTTGAGATTTTTCTGCTTTGGCTTTTTCCTATAGGTGCCAGAGTTGATCTGCTTCAGATTTTCATGAATGACTCATCTTCCTGTCGTGTTTTCTTTTCTTTCTTTAAAAAAATTTTTTTTTAGTGTTAGTTTATTATTGAGAGAGAGAAAGAGCATGAGCATGGGAGGGGCAGAGAGAGGGGGAGACACAGAATCTGAAGCAGGCTCCAGGCTCTGTGCACAGAGCCTGATGTGGGGCTCGAACTCACAAACCACGAGATCATGACCTGAGGCAAAGTCGGACGCTTAACCAACTGAGCCACCCAGGCACTCCATCCTGTCGTATTTTCTTAGACTACAATAACTTAATCTTTGGGTCACTTTAAACATAGTTCCTCCTATCACATGTATTGGGAGGAATATACGGAGGTATTCAAACTCAAGCATGTTTCTTCCTCATGCTGATTAATTCCTCTGCTCCATAGAAAACTTGTTTCTTCCTGAAAATGGCATTTTAATGATTATTTTCTGTAGGAGGAAGCTTGTGACCTTCACTTGTCTTTTTTCCTTCCAGAGGGAATCTGGAAAAGTTATAAGCAAAACATCATTTCTCTAAGAAAATTCTGGATAACAGAAGTTCTGAGTAACAGGTAAAGTATATTTAAACTTCTTGGATGCTGATGATCACCTATAATCTACAAAAGTAAACTGGGAGTGGGAAGAAGAGAAGAAGGAGAGAGAAGTGTGCTTTGTGTCAGGGGTAGCATTAGGAATTGTATATACATCATCTCATTTAGATGATTGTTACCCAGATGCTGGGTGTATAGATCTAAGAATCTCAGAATAAAACTGCCCTTCAAAATGCTGTTTTGAATGGATTTGCCTATGGATTGGATTTAATGTCCTCACACCACAGTTTGCAAACGTAAATCTACCATAGACCAAATACAGCGGTACACAGAATCCTGGAATCTGCTATCCTGTGCAGTCTAGCCAGTTCCTAGTCTTCCTAGTTCCTTTCTGTCTTTTGTTTTAGTTCTTGATCATTGCCAGTTATTTGCAGCTGTATCATCTCCTTGATTCTTTTTAATACTTTGTCACCAGGTCCAAAATTTAAATTTCCTAATAAAGTACCTCTTCACAATGGGGTCCAACCCAAGTGTCCCCATTATGTTCTCGGTGAGAGTCTTACCATGACTGGAAAGAATAGCTACACCTCTCACACTGTTTTCTTATTTATATCTCACAGAGAAGTTTATGAAATAATAGTATGCATAAAGAATCTAGTATGCTGGGTCTGAGAAACACATCTCAGATGTTAGCTACAATTTTACCTTTGGAACTAGGGAAGACATGAAAGCTAACCAGACTTCTAGGATTCTGTAGGTCCAAAGATGTGCTCATAGACTGAGGTGGATTGTCCTTCCTGGGGGTAGTAGAGAGTGAGATGCTCTTTATTCTAATTAGCACTCTGGCATGAGCCTTGAAGTTAGATTTCAAGTATTCAAAAAAGTAGTTCCTAGAGATACCATCAAAAAATTAAGTTGTTCAGATTTTTGTATTTGTTGATTTTCCTTTGACATTTTTCATTTTTCCATTTTTATCAGGGCAAACCAATTCCATCACCATGAGTTGGAGCTTCCTGACTCGCCTGCTAGAGGAGATCCACAACCATTCCACATTCGTGGGGAAGATCTGGCTCACTGTACTGATTGTCTTCCGGATTGTCCTTACAGCTGTAGGAGGAGAATCCATCTATTATGATGAGCAAAGCAAATTTGTGTGCAACACGGAGCAGCCAGGCTGTGAGAATGTCTGCTATGACGCCTTTGCACCCCTCTCCCATGTGCGCTTCTGGGTATTCCAGATCATTTTGGTGGCAACCCCCTCGGTGATGTACCTGGGCTACGCCATTCATAAGATTGCCAAGATGGAGCATGGCGAAGCAGACAAGAAAACAGCTCGGAGCAAACCCTATGCAATGCGTTGGAAACAGCACCGGGCTCTGGAAGAAACAGAAGAGGACCATGAGGAGGATCCCATGATGTATCCGGAAATGGAATTGGAAAGTGAAAAAGAAAATAAAGAGCAGAACCAACCTAAACCCAAGCACGATGGCCGCCGGCGGATTCGGGAGGACGGGCTTATGAAAATCTATGTGCTGCAGTTGCTGGCAAGGACCGTGTTTGAGGTGGGTTTTCTGATAGGGCAGTATTTTCTGTATGGCTTCCAAGTCCACCCATTTTATGTGTGCAGCAGACTTCCTTGCCCTCATAAGATAGACTGCTTTATTTCGAGACCCACTGAAAAGACCATCTTCCTTCTGATAATGTATGGTGTTACAGGCCTTTGCCTATTGCTTAACATTTGGGAGATGCTTCATTTAGGGTTTGGGACAATTCGAGACTCACTAAACAGTAAAAGGAGGGAACTGGAAGATCCGGGTGCTTATAATTATCCCTTCACTTGGAATACACCATCTGCTCCCCCTGGCTATAACATTGCCGTCAAACCAGATCAAATCCAGTACACCGAACTGTCCAACGCTAAGATTGCCTACAAGCAAAACAAGGCCAACATCGCCCAGGAACAACAGTACGGCAGCCATGAGGAGAACCTCCCAGCTGACCTGGAGACTCTGCAGCGGGAGATCAAAATGGCTCAGGAGCGCTTGGATCTAGCAATCCAGGCCTACAGTCACCAAAACAACCCTCATGGTCCCCGGGAAAAAAAAGCCAAAGTGGGGTCCAAAGCTGGGTCCAACAAGAGCAGTGCCAGTAGCAAATCAGGGGATGGAAAGACCTCCGTCTGGATTTAATCTTGGCTGGGATTAAAACTTGTGCTCTTCCATAGTCCGTGGTAAGCAGCGGCTCACTGAATAATGGCCTCTGTTGAGTAAACATTTGGCTCTGGTTATCTTCAGGGATGCTGTTGGCTCATGATCCACGCTCAGGGGACTCTGAAAGCGGGGCTGGGACGAGGGGGAGAAAAGGGGAAACACCGTGTTCGTGGGCACATATTTCAGCAATAATACTGTTATAGAACTTTACATTTGTGTCTTCCAGATCTGGAAAAAAAACAGATATATTTAAATCATTCTTGTTGAAAAGTTTTTGTATGTACAGTATTATGGTACATTTTTTTAGTATGAGTACTTTTTTTTGTATTTGTATATTGGACCGCTGTAGTTACACTTTTATATTAAAGGAAAAAAAATCCTTAAGGTAATGCCTATTAAGCCAGTGTTATTACTTTGTTCAGCAAATTCCACCCTGGGTTTAAAGTTTTAATAGATGCTACACCTAATAAAAGTGCCTCTCGTGTTGCAGGGAAGATTTCGGATATGTCAGGAGCCGGAGGAGGAAGCATCAATTTTCAATCTTGGAAAGAAAGTCCACAGTAGAAGGAGGCTGAGATCTTTTCTCCTTTACTTAAGAAATCTTTGAATCTCATTCACCTACCCAAACCTATATCTAATCTTTGAAAACCTGTTTGTATTTTCAAAGGATATAAATGATTAACTGCAGGATTCATTTAATTATCAAGCATTGCCAGCATATGCCTCGATGGTGTGCACATAATTTAAGTTCTCCCAAAAGGCTGATACACAAAAGTGTCCTCAGTCTGGTAGCAGCGTGGAGACCCTGACCAGAGGTGTTACTAAGATTCCTCTATTGCAAAGCCATGCCTGGAAAATGAGCCCTACTACAATGTTTAGTTGTGGACCTATTTGATTTGCCTTAAATCTCTATCCAGAAACCTGCCTTTCTGGTTTCTTAAGAAACCAGTGGTGGATATTTTCTTTGGATGTTAACATTAGAAATAAAAAAAATTCTCTTCTCGGCTAAAAATACTCAGAGCCATTTGTATTGCCTGTGGCAGAAGGCCTAAATCCAAATTCCTTATTTTTTTGTAATTTGCTGCATAACTTTTGTAATTTCTGTACTTCTGCCAATGTAGATTTCTTTCTGTGTAGAAGACCAGTCAGAATGGGGATTCTATCTGTAAATAGACCTAAAGAGAATTTCAGAATTTATTCCCTCAAGGCATATCTATTTGTTAATGACAAGCATTGATGTTCACATAACACTTACAATTTGCAGTATTTTATTGATATTTTCAGTCCTGTATTCTGTGGGAGAGCTTTGCTCTCCCAGCCCATTCACATCGTTTGTCTTACAGTTTATGAGCTTGTAAGCAAGAGCTTGGTAAGGATGTAAAGGAAGGGGCCTTTGTTTCCCATGGAGCTTTTGGGTTTGAGTGTCTCACTGTTTTCTAATAGAAAGCAAGCCACCTCTGACTTTGAAATTAAAAAAGTATTATTTTTTAGGTCTTAATTTTAAAATGTCCATTCTTTATTATTTAGGAGAATCCTGGAACAGCACCCTTTGGGCATTTCTTTTTCATTTCTTTCTTTGTTCTACTCAGAAAATTTCAGCTTATCTTCTAGCCATGCATTAACTTTTTTTGCCCTTTTTTTTTTTCTTAATCTATAAATTTTAGCCTAGAGAAGCTCCTTATAATCTCTAAACACCTTAATCAGAAAGTAAACTCAGGAGAGACTGAAGGGGAATTTCAGAAAACAATAGACCTGACATGTCCTGGATCATTAGCAGACTCGTGCAGTTTCCTTCATACCAAGTGTTTTATAAAGAAATTCAAGTGCTTATTAGAAAACAGGCAAGCTTTTAAACAGCTAAGCTTATTTAAGATGAAGATCTATCAGTCCCCTCTGGTGTCACTAGAGATTCAAGGAAATTTCTTAACCAAAGGACAGAAGATAGATACACACTCAATGCACATCTACACAGAGCCTGAAGGAGACAGTGGCTTCGCCAGAGGAAAGGCTGGGGGCTCGAGAGTGACAGAGAGGAAAGGAGTCAAGCAGAAATGCCAGGCAAAGACGTGTGATGCCAGAAGCGTCTACTTAGTTCCTACAAACAGTGCCCTCGGTGTTTCCTCTTGGCTTGTTCCGATGAAAATGTTATTTTGTGTCTGGATAATTCTTCCAATATCTTAAAGTATATAGAAAAATATTCTAAGTCACTTCACATGTGCAAGTCTACTCTCTCACCAAAGTTTTAGCTATGACAGAGTTCCCAACTCTCACTGCTTTCTTGGTACATTTCTTCAGCCTCTGAACCATGGGAGTTTGCCAAAGCCATTTCCCCATAATGGCATGTCATGGACCTCCATTAGGAAAATGGCCCTATCAGTGTCTAGCTTAACCCATGAATTGGGTCTACATCGAATCTATAAAAATATCATTCTGGTTATTCTGGAACTTACAGGTATTAGTATAAAAAGCCTGTCCGCAGGTTTTTTTTTCCCCTATCAAAATTGTATTCCTTGGAATTGCCATAAAGTCATGTCTGTCCTATGACATTTGCTTCTCTAAATAGTTGAGTGCTTAGTCCTTCCATCTACTAGAACCAGGATATGGTCAATATGTTTATATTTCTTAATATACTATTGGATCTATTCCGATGTGTTTTTTGCTCATTTGTGTTAAAATGTGTTACCAGGAGAGATTTATAAAACAAGCTTTTTTCTTAATTCAAATTTGAAGGGAGAATTAGATAACATTTTCTCCTAAAGAAGTCTTAATGTTCACTTTGTGGCTTCATCTTTGCCTTATGACTTAGTTTTTTCCTGTTTCTATATTTGCTCATTGAAAGCCACAAATATGTTATCTCATTTGAAGTCCGTTTTTCTGGGGATTTTCCTTGACTAATCTGCAAAAAACTACTTTTGATAAAAATGAACTTTGTGATCTAAAATGGTTTTCACAGCCCTGACAACTCCCACATATCTGTCTTTTACAAGGACACCTATGTCTTTAAAGAGAAAAAAAAGTCCTCATTCGGTACCGTAACTCTGTCATTTCTTAATGGTGTAAAATTAAGCCGTTCACCTGACTTTCCCAAGTTTCAGGAGCTACTTCTTGGAAGTGTTATGAAGTAGTTAGAGCCTATGGTAAAAGGTATTCAAAGACCAACTATTTATTGGTCATGTGTCTGAACTTGGGTCTTCAAGAAAAAAATAGTTGACAAAACTACACAATGGCAGTAGTAAACCATCCTCCAGTGCTCTTGATCACAGGAGTCGGTGATGGCTTAAAACACTTGGCTTTAAGCAGTTTATACCAAGAATGGACTTAAATGTCATTCCCGTTAGTCATACTGATGCTTTACCCTTTCAGCTTATAAATGTCCATGCTTTATTCCTTCTGTCTCATTTAGGAGACCGTATACCTCTAACATCTACAGTTTATGATAAATTTTTGGCCAGCTAGCTTGCAGTAAAGGCAAGTATGTTATACTTGAACCTACTTTAAGAAATGCCTTTTTATAAAGGAAAGGTCTTTCTTGACTGAAAGGGACCTGAAAGTCAAAGATACACAGTTGTGGGTCATTTTGATTGGAAGATTCCAGGTATTAGGTTAATTGTATCTGTATAAAATCATGTAATCTCATGAAGAGCCTTACCACCTGAAAATAAGAAAGCCCCAGCGCCTCTACAGTGTAGAGTTTGGAAATAAAAGTTACATTCTGGCCACACATCATGGAGAGATTAAAAGATTTTATTTCTTGCCCCTAATGCAGTTGTGTTGTTTTTAATAATAACGTTAAGTGAGTTTGGTTCGTGCACATTCCACCTTAATAGTCATACTTTTTAGAAAGAGGCAGTCCAGGGGTGCCTGGGTGCCTCAGTCGAGTCTCCGACTTCGGCTCAAGTCATGATCTCACAGTCTCTGAGTTCGAGCCCCAGGTCGGGCTCTGTGCTGACAGCTCAGAGTCTGGAGCCTGCTTCTAATTTTGCATCTCCCTCTCTGCCCCTCCCCTGCTCATACTCTGTCTCTCTCTCTCTCAATAATAAAAATTTTTTTTAAAGAGACAATCCATAGTATTCTAAAATCCAGGAGTCCAAACAAAAGAAAGTCTTACTCCCGTGCAAAGTCCCTACAGAAATAAAAGGAGTAAGTGTTTTACATTTCAAGGTTGGCTTGTTGAACCAGCAAAGACATTGGCTATTTGCTTCCAAGATTGGAAATTTTTCTTTATTGTACTTTCCAATTGTGTTTTCTTTAATAAAGCTCTTACAGAAGTCTCTACCTCAGGCACTAAGTATTAGATACAGTTAGCATATTGATACTGAAAAACTTAGCTAGGACTTCTAGCTTTTTAAGATAATTGAAATATAATTTTCAACTGTTAACCAGCAATCTAATGTCATGTGTGGTTTGGATGTTGTATGAACAGCTAAGGAATTACCATTCTAGTGCCAAAGATCACTCATTGCTAATTTTGTTCTGTACAGTTAATGTAAAACTTTTATGGTGGGGACAGACTTCTGTGCTCGGGGCCTTGTCTCCAGGAAGATTTGTCAGTTCCAAATGTTTTGTGAGTTCCAAATACAGTTTAGAAGATTCATTTGTGGTCTGTGCATCTTTTCCCAAACTTGAGAACTCGGCTGCCAGTAAATGTCATATTGAGGATTTTACCCCATTCTTTGTGTAAAATAGTACCTGATGGCTTAATGGTTTGTACAGAAAACCTGATATGAAAATCTCTCCTAGTACGTTCACCTGTAAACTGATCTCAGTGGGAATGCATGAGCAGAAAAACTTCCAAGCAGGTGACTTGGGCTCAAAACATGCCCTTGTTCATAGCTGAGTTACACAACTCTTGATTACTGTGGCTACGCGGATTGGCATATTACTGGCATCCTAAATCTGGGAAGGGGATGTGGCCTTGTGTAGGAGTGGGGGGGTCTGGAGTCTAAGCACAGAAACTGGGAACACAGCCTGTCTCGCTC